GATTCAAACTCCAATATTTAACTTTAACTCAACCTCTAAACCTCCATATTTAACCATACCTACACGTAATATTTAAACCTAATACTTATCTAAATCCCTATCTGCTTCTATCATAAAATTCAAGTTTAAATCCATGTACCCTAATGCTAGCTAAATTCTATTGTTATACCTCTAAGCGGACTACAACACATTCATTACCGCGGAATCGGAAGAGTTCATTAATTAAATATCAAATTCAATTACCCTAACAATATTAAATGAAATTCAAAATTTACAAAAAAACCCACGGTGGTAAACAACTGTATGCACGTATATCTATAAATACATACGTAAGTGCACCTAATGTGCAGGTGCGTATGTAAATATATATAAGTTACGGACGTTCAGTCCGTATAAGTCAAAAAAATTAATTGGGCCAGCCGCCCAAAAAGAAACACAGACTGGTTAAGAATTCACTTGGGTTTTATTAACACTTAACTTTTTACGACTAAGGCTAACACTAAACGTACTGTATGATAACCCTTCCCGAACTCGACTGACTGCACGTTGTGGCCGTTGCTTGCTTCCCACCTTCGTTCTCTGGCAGCGACGCAATGGTTGCGTAACATGTTTACAACCCATTTTCTGTGACTGGATTTGGCCTTGACTTCCCACGGGTGCATTATGGAATGCAGGTGGCAATGTGTCCCGTTACACTATATGGTGAAATTAAAATATGCTGACACTGCGGCACGTGTAACGGCCAACCGTGGGAGCGTCGCAACAAATGCGACTGGTGCGTGTTAACTCTTCCCCCTCTAAAGATTTGCGTCCCGCAAATCAACGTTTTGGGAGGCGTCCTTCTTAAGTCGGTTTCGAGAACTCTGTTGCAGTATGGACAAATTCAGCTCAGGAACATTGGCTCCTGTCGTCAATTTTCTCCAAATCAGCAAAATTAGGATCATTAGCAAAATAAGTCCTAGACCTTCAGACGTCGCAAACCAGTTAGTTTTGTCCTTCAGGTAACCCAAAAGTCGTATGTTTCAGGACGTCATTTCATTGACGATATCGAGGTTCACTGCCAGACTCTTATTGGTTATTGTAGACAACAGGGATGGAAGCACCTGCACACCTGAGCTGCTTGTACTCCAGTAGGATGCGTTGTTGATCGTTATCGTCTCGTTATCCAGCTGTAGAATATAGGAACCAGACAGGTGTTTAGATATTTTACCTGACCATACGCTGCTGTTGAAGTTATCCAGGAATATTGTATCTTCCTTGTTTCCATGCAGGTTATGAGGGCGACAACTTGTTTGGCCGCCCTTGAGTAGACGAGGTAAGACCTCCTCTTCAGGCAGTAAATCAAGTGACCCCTGTTTGCAAACCATAGCGGTGGCGAGGTGTAGACAGCTATCCTTAATACCATACGTATGTTGTTTGTTCATTAGTATTGTTTTGTACTTCAAGTCGACTCGATGACCATCCTTCAAAATTGATCGTCTGATTAAATGGTTGAACCTTGTTTGCGCCACTTTTGTCATGGACAAGACGTATAGTAGAAGAGTGCCGTTGGAGTAGATTGATGGCTCACTATATTCGATGGCTGCGATGACGTTGCTGTACGGAAGGACTTCGATTTCGCTTATTAGTTGATTTATTTCCTCTTTATTTAATAGGTTACTGTTGACAACTCCTGCTTTGGCCGAATCAACTCTTTAACGTCCTCCTTAAGGCTTTCTGCACATTGGTCGTCCAATCATAGTTACTTCATCGTCACAATCATAATTACATGACGCTTACACTTTCGCACACTCGATCGTAATATTTCAATTCATTTGGCGTCTAAAAATTCACTTGGAGCAGGTATTTTTTGTTTTTCTGGTGGATATTTTCGTGAAATATTTACAAAAACCTGCAATTTTTAAAATATAGACTGTGCTGCAACAATTCTAGACATAATTTTTCAGTAATATCTCTTCTTTTCTTTTCTGGTTTGAGAATGCAAACAGAGACTTTTTACAATTTCGTCATATAGTTAAAACGGTCACATTTATTGAACTTTAATGCAATTATCCACTTTTTAATAATTTCCACAGCTTGTATGCAAAAAATGCTAATTTTTTTGCAATTTTAATGCAAATATTAACTTTTTCACTAATTTTTCACCATAAAATGTAAACAAACAATGCGTGCACAACGATTAGCAAACGACAGTGTCGTACTTATCCGTTTCTGCATCTTCTACAATTTGTCGACAACTAGCCGATAACGACAAGTGTGCCAATCTCCTTTGAAATGCATGTGCTCGGCTCAAAACTTCAGGGCGAGACGATAACGCAACTATGATTGGACGACAAGTGTGCAGATAGCCTAAGGATCGCTACCTTGTGCTCTATTTCCTGTGAAACTTTAGCCAGGTGGTTGCGTCCCAAAATGTCATTCGTGGCCGTCGCGATTCCATTAACAGCTTGTAATACCTCTTGAGTTTTCTTGAATATTTCAGAGTTTACCTTATTGTTGCTTATTGAGGGAGTAATAAATCTTAGCACAGGGCGCGCCAAGTGACGAAATCCACAACAAAGAAAAGTCTATTGGATGTTGGATTTAATTCAAATATATAGGTACAATTGTTTATTAGAGAGATTGAAGCAATACATTATTACTTGAAGAAATGAATTCAATGTTGCCCAAGTGGCTTAATCAAAAAAGGTAATTCGATAAAACAAGTGCGATGCGGTCGCGGCGGTAGTTGAATACGAAGTACTTAACTTTCTTAATTGCGGGCACAGGTCACCCCATGACACCGCTTACAACAAGGCAATCCAACTTTCCAAATTCCAAAAATTAATTCACAATAATATAAATGACAAAGTTGCCGGCCGCACGCATAATATGAAAAATGAGAAAACATATAAGGATCAGTCAAATTCTATTAAATTGGCGCTCATGTCCTCGACACTTATATTGAAGCTTGTTATTGGTTACTAATGCGACTTGGCTCCGGAGGACTT